ACCAGGAACATCTGGATGAGCTCTACAGTTGTCCACGATTAGTGCCACCTTCCTTTTTTCTGCTTGGAACTTCCTGTCCCACTTTTTCACCCATGCACTGAATAGATCTCCTGTGATCCAGGCTCTTGACTGGCCATCGTAAACGCATGGGAGAACTTTGGTCTGCTTAAAGCATCTGGGAGTCTTGGACTTTCCTATAACGTAGAGTGGGAGTTTTTGGCTTCCATCCATGTTAGCGGCAACTAGCACTGTAAGTCGATCCTTCGACTTTTTTCCACCATGACAAGCCTCCCCACGAAACGCCATAGTTTTGTCTGGAAGGCATTTCCAAAACACCCCAGTTTCATCAGCATTAAAAATGTTCCAAAAGTCTGCTCATTTCAGTCTTCAGCCATGAATCCACCTGCTTCTGTTGAACCGCAGTGTTCTCTCCTCAAATTGCTTTGAAGACGATGTTGTGCCTCTTTTGGAAATGATCCAGCCACCCCTGACTTGCTTTAAAGTCAGGGTGTCCTAGCTTTGCAGCAAGGATGTCCGCCTTCTCCATGAGCACGGGACCATTGACGGGAAAGTTTGTCGCTCGCGTATTCGTGAACCATTGAAACACTGCATCGTCGACATCTTTGTGCACAGCAGCTCTAAGTCTTTTTCTTTCTGGATCAAAAACAGACTTCTCGTACATTTGCTTTATCACGTCAGCCTTCTTTTTCCATCCTGAAATGGTGTTCGCTGGAATGCCATGCTGACGACTAAGGTCAGCCGGTTTTGTTCCTTTTTCTAGCTGCAGTATGATTTCATACTTTTTCTCTAATGACTGATTGTCCAGGTCTCTTAAGACCTCCAGACATTTTCAGAAGGAAAAAAATAAACAGAATAGCAACAGCGTGTTATCCCTCAGACAAGATCAACAAGAATGAGTGAACTGTCATGGGAGTGAACGATCAATTTAGTGGTTAGTCCAAAGCTAGCATACACCTGGCCACATTCCCCCCCCCCCTTTTATGGTTTTGATGGGGATTTACCTAGATCGCGTTTCTCCGCTGCGTTGTTCAGCAAATTACCATGCGAATGCGATTTGAATACGCGCTAATGCAGCTGTTTAGCACTTGTGATACATTTTAAAAAGCCAGCGATTAGTCACGGGGATCGAGATAACCGACGTTAAGAGTGGCGATTTTGGCCCTCTTTTGTGCTCGAGATATTAGGGTTCGGCGACATAAAAGAATCGACATAACTGATGAGAAATGCTAATGCAAAGAGGGAATTTGGCGGTTCCACTTCAAAAACGTCGACTTAATAGGGTTGGCGAGTTAGCCGAGGTCGAGATAAGTGGGTTCGACTGTATATGGATTTCAAAATGACAATATCTTAAAAAAAAAAAAAAAACATTTAAAACATGTTTATTATACAAGAAGTTTAGATAAGTTTAGTAGGGCGTTTCAAACTGGTAGCCCTTCGTATGGCTCAGTACCCGTGAAGTAGCTCTCAGTTTCAAAAAGGTTGGTGACCCCTGGTCTATAGGCTAATTCATACTTCACTTTTCTGCGTGCACTTTCAGTCGTGCACAGGGTGACATGATGTAAATTTCATCATCAGAAGTTTGCGCAGGATGGCTACCGAAGATGCCGGAGTAGGGGCAGAAATCATGTGCGTCTGCGCACACTGACTGTGCATGTGCAAGGACACTGACTAGGTGTTTGCTGTAGGTGAGCAACAGTGACTTTCATAGAGCAGTGGTCAACCAAAAAATAGTGGAAGAATAGTCGCAGGACTTGTGGAGATGACCGCATATCTAGTTTTTAATGTCCACATCATATGTACTGTTCAGGCGTTATACCGCAGTATAAGGTATTTTCAAAACGAACACCATTCCTGCATTTTGAAATCTTGGTTAATTCTGTCATTGAAATTTGGGTTTTGAAAATGTTGCTGTATCCCAAGCCCAGACTAACAACTTTAAAACTGTTCATAAAAAGCTGTCACTGTTTCACTGCATTGCTTGTATCTGCTGAAATACATCTGCCCTCTGCTGGTCTGGTGGAATATCACCGCTGTATGCATACAGCGACCAAGACCATCAGCATCCACAGCCAAATGTAGTGTGAATACAAACTACTGTGTGCATGACTGTCCGCAGCCCAAAAGTGATATGTGGAAAAGTGAAATATGAACTAGCCTTAACAGAGCAAGAATACAGTACGAATCAGAAACATAGACTGCATACAGCACTAGATATCTGTGATGCAGCATGTGCAATTTTCTGAAAGCTGGAAGATGTTTCTATAGTCACCTGGGTTTGGAGGTCTGACACTCCCAGCCAGCAGCTCCTCAGTCACGTCCTGAAACACTGTTTCTTCTTTCACCTCCCCATTAAGGATGGGACACACTGTACTCTCTGCTTTCTGCGGAAAGCGAAGAGTCAATTAATTTCTTTTGTTGAGAGTTCATCTGGTCTATGGGACTGAATGCGACACGTTTCAACATCGCACAAAGAGCCAGGGCTGGGTTACCAATTAGAGATGCACTGATCGATCGACTAGGGACCAGAATCGGCCAATTTTCAGCGTGCTTGGCCCAGACCAGAGACCGGCCGATCGGTCTCATGTATTTCTAATACAAAACCAGTTCGTTTTATGCATGCACCACAAGTCATACAGTCATAGGCTTGTAAAATACTTCAGGAAAGGTCCACACATTTTGTAAAACTTTTTGCTGGTGTCGCTAATAGAGTAGCAGATCTTTTCAAGGCTTAGACAGGCGTAAGACGTAAGACCACCCGCTTGGTCAAAAGGAAGGCAAAGAATAAGGTACGGCATTTCACTGGGGTCAGATGTGCATCGAGGAAGCTAACACAGGCGGTGCCGAAAAGGGCAATCAGAGGATTAGGTTTTATAGGGTGTTTGAGGATTGAAGATAAAGTTTGAAATACATCCCTCCGGTATCTTGCGAGGCTGGAATATGACATGGATGAAGGAAGCATCTTCACCCCCACATTTATCACAGCAGGGATCCTAATCTGGGTAAATATGAGATGATTTGCTTTTGAACATATGGACGCTTAAACTGTAGAAGACAATGTCGGGCACAGAAGGATGTTGAATTAACCAACTTAAACATTAAGTCCCACGTGTCCTCGGATAGTGACATGTTTACATCTGTCCCCAAGCAGTTTTAATTCTATCAATAGAAGGGCCTTTCATGCCAGCCAGTTTATCATATACAACAGATTCCTTTACTAATTGGATGCAAAGTAAGAAACTTATCAGCTGTATTCATAACTGGTGCCTCAGGAAAATTTGGAATCCGAGATTGGAGGAAGTGCCTAATCTGCAGGTATCTGAAGAAATGCATATATGGAAGATTAAATATTTTAGATAGTTGATGGAAAGATGCAAAGTTATCAATAACCAAGTCATTGAAACACCTGATGCCCCTACTGTACCATTCATGAAATACAGGGTCAGACAAAGAGTTGAAACAAATGATTTCATACAACTGGACTCAAAAGAGAGAAATCTGTTAAACCAAAGTGTTTTCTCATTTGAGCCCATACTCTCATACTGTATAAGACAAGCGGATTATCAATTGACTTGCTTGAGGGTAACGGAAGTGAGGATGTAAGATGTGCTAAAACAGAGAAGTGTCCAATTCCATCGACACCCACGATGGATGATTGTCATCGTTTTGGAAATGGAATCAAAACGTAATACAGCGTATATTAGCAGCCCAATAGTAACAGCGGAAGTTATTCCTAGATTTCTGGAGATGGGTTTTATTCAGACAGGGACTTTTGCCTCTCCATATATAAGATATCTAAAAGATTTAGGAATAAAGGTAGGTATTGACTGGAACAAATACAGAAATGAAGGTAAGATGTTCATTTTAGCTGAATGAATGCTCCCCATCAAAGATGTAGCCAAGGGAGACCATTATGTCAGGGACTGTTTTGTATTATTTAACAAAGTGAGAAGGTTCTCTTTCAAGAGACATTTGTGCTTCTTTGTAACTGTTATGCCTAAGAATGTGAACTGATTTTCTGCAATTTTGAATGGAAAATTAGAATGACCCAAAGCTGACATCAATAGGGAACAGCTCACTTTTATGCAAGTTCAATTTGTATTCAGAAAAACCACCAAATTTGGTAAGTATTGATAGCATGGAGGGTGTGGATGTACTTGGGCTCAACAGAAAAATCAACAAGTCATCTGCATAGAGACACTTTATGCTCAACGCCTCTCCTCCAGATCCCCGAAATGTCCCGATCACTTCGGAGTGCAACAGCCAGTGGCTCTATAGCCAGATCAGAGAGTAATGGACTCGGGGTGGGGGGGGGGGTCTCAGGACAACCTATGATGTGATCCCAGCTGTGGACTTTCTAAGACGAATAAAAAAAAAGAGAAAAAGGTCAACGTCGTATCATCTGGTGAGTTTAATCATACAGGAAAATGATAGAAGTAACTGACATTTGTTTTGTTACTTAAATCTGTTGCACCTGCTCTTGTTTGGTTACGCTTCCTGCTCCTGTCTCAGCTTCCTGCTCCTGTCTCTTATGTTAGACGGGTCGGTGCCGACCCCAACACCAGAGCTGTTATAATCTTGACCAGAGCATTTGTAATTTAGTGTTTTTTTTTTTTTTGTTTAAATAAAAGTTCCCAAAAAAGTCAAAAAGCCTTGATGCAGTACACAAATTTATGTGGTGCTTTTATGTATTTTAAACTTAAAAACGGGTCGGTGCTGATCCTAACACCACAGGAAGGTTAAGTAAAATGTCAGATAAAGTCGGGTGTACAGCAGCTCATTTTCAGGTAATTGTTATTTGTACCTCATTCCAGATACAGAGCACATTATTTTGAGACATTTAAATAAGAAGATCCTGTAACTTAGTGCATTTTATGGGAAATTGTAATTTTGTTGAGAATAAAAATTTGCATTGAACAAAAGTTGAATTTTTGTTTGTCTATGCTGTCAATTATACTTTTTAGAAAGAAAATTGAAATCAGCAAAAATTGATATTAACCAGTCACACTTGCAAAAAATAAAAAATAAATAAAAATCGAAATTGGCCAAGAAAATGGCAATCAGTGCATCTCTGCTACCAATGTCTTTACCAGGTATCATACAGGACACATTTTTCCTGACTGATACTGAACACAAGCTGCCCTCAAGCTGCTGCTCTCTCTCCACTCCTAATCCATCTAAGCAGCTCACTGCTGAAGGTACTACAGGGTAAAAGCACAGGTGACATGACAGCAGGCCTGTGAAGGTGTTTAGATACAGACTCACTGTCATAGTTAAACGGCTGGAGGCAGGACACACAGAGACTGTGTAAAATCCCAGATGACTTCAGAAAGGTCAAGGTTCATGCAGTTGCCTGGATACTAACAAGCAAGACGAGCAACCTGTGAGTGCAGAAGGCAGCTGGGCCCCACACCAGCAGCGCTCCATTTGGCCTCGTCAGGGCTGCTGTGCCCGGCCCCGTCCACATCCGATATGACGATGTCCTGTGCTTCCTCCTTCACATCTGCCACACTTAGCTGGGGAGGTTTCTGGTCCATGATGCAGTTGGCCACAGCCCTGCAGGGGGACGTCTGTGAGCAGAAAGGGAATGATGAGCCAGCTTTGAACCTGTTCATTTACCCGAGTCACACAGACGATATATCTGTCCTGTAGCGTCAGGCTCTGAGTTCTCAGCTCTGCTCTAACTGGGTCATCAGGATGAAGATCTGAAGTATCTGGAAACTTGTCCTGCCTAATATGTGACTCTGCAGGATTGGACTCTGTGTCTGTGATCAGAAGGTTGCCAGTTCAGAACCCATGGCTGGCAGAGTGATCATATTACTGGAGTTGCTTCCACTCAATATATACATGGTCTGACCTGAAACAATGAAACTAAGACTGAACTTACCTGACTGGGGTTCAAGCTGCTTTGTTAATAAATGCTTTTCATCTCCTCAGTCTGTGGACCTGGATGGAACTAAAAGGCAAACTTGGTCTGACATACACACCAAACTAAAAACAATCATAGCTAGATATTATTCCTCCAATGCACCAAACAAAACCAGCACCTCTAAAACAGTGACAAATTAGATGCTGTGGAAACAAGAACAGCATAGGTCTACAAGAACAGCCTCCCCCCCCCCCTCAAAGGCTACTCCTCCCACAAGGAGTGGGCAGCTTGATGCACTATTTCAAACCATGTGTTGAGTTTTCAAAGCAGTAGTGCTTTGAGGAAGCGCATCAGAGCCTCACTTCACATGACATAAAAGCAGTACAAAAGCTAATGAGAGACCGATGGTTTCAGAGTAAAGGACGGGCTGGCAGTGAAGCTGGTACAAGGGGCAGGCGCCAGATGGATCAGTACACATGTGTTGCAGACACATTATGGCCTTCGTGAGCCCATTGGGGCTGCTTAAGCCAGTATTACCACTGAGGTCATGCCATTGTCTTACTCTGACTTTGATGTCATTAATCAGTATCTTGGAGAACTGGCACCATTCAAATGTGACACCAACTCCGCCATAATAAATAGTAAAAGCAAAATAAAGACATTAAAAGAATCAGTATAATATCATAAATAAGGAAGTTATACTGTAAAAAAAAATAAAAGACCATAGATATATACAACACGATGAAGTTCGACGCACAATGTACGCAGTTTCTCTCTACTATTTAAAATAAATTCATACCCGGCATACGCAGACGTTAATATACAGCACAGACATTACCGACTGCGAAGATCGCGGAGCTTTACGCGTTTTAGCGTCCGTTTCCATGGTGAATCCTTTTTTCAGCGATCGGCTGATAATGGCTTTTTGTTGTTCCACGAGGCCGCGCCTCAGTTAGCATTAATACTGAGAGCTGAATAAACTCAGACCCCTAAGTAGTAATCAGCGTTTCTGGAACCGATAGTTATGTTTACGTCATTCTGGGGGCATTGAAGTGATAGTTAAGGTTTAAACCCTAACTCGCTTTCTGGAATATAACCCCAGTATATAACCTCCAACCAGGCAGGGGCGCCCATAAGGGGGGAGAAAATAAGGAAAGGGAATTATCAGGGGGCCGGCGGCATCCCCACTCCTCCCCTCCCCCGATTCGCAAATTACAGGCAAAAGTTTGCAATTCGCAACTCAGACTCAGTTGGCTTCTCATTTGCAGTCTTATTTATTTTGAAAATACAAAATGACGTATGAATAAAACGTTTAAGCTGTAACACGTCCATGTATTTCATATATGCATGTCACACATCTACCTGTAATGTTAATCGTCGGATGGCAATAAAATAGCAGCATGGCATGGTGAGCAACTACATTTAAACGAGAAGCCACATTTCCAACCGTAATCTGGAGGTCTTATTCGTCTTTGGCCAGGCAAATGTGAAATGCATAGTACACAGTAGGTATGCCACTGTTAGGAAACACTGAAATTATCCTGGGCCAAGATGAATAGGATGAATCCCCTGTTTCCAGCTGGACAAGGCTAATTCCAGTGTTCCCTAACAGAGGCATACCTGCTATGTACTTTGCGAATAAGAAGCCAAATTAACCGGAAGGTGCAGATAAGCAGCCAACTACAGCCTTACTGGCAAATATAAATTCAGTTCAATTCTTTATTGTTGTCACTGAACAAGACGGAACAAGTCAGCAATTTTGCACGGTGCAAAAAGACACAAGACAAAACATAATATGCAAATATTATAATATATAGGCCTACAAAATATTATAATATATACAAAATAGCCAAAATGCGCAAAAGCACAGTTGTGATAACCAGTATGTAGTGGTGTGGCGCGTATGGGATATGTGTGAATTTTAACTTTTATCTCTGCCCGCAAATTTAAAACGCCCGCTATTCAAAGTTTCAAACTTTGCTTGGGGTCCTGAAAAAGTTTGGATGTCCGAATATCGACATCGGCATACCAACCTTGGTATTATTTAGTATCGCCTGTCCATAATACTCGCCTCAAATCCTTCATACTGCTGCCCGCCACTCCACTGCAGAGCAAAACTTACCGGAAGAAGTAACGACCGCAACAAAGCATCGAGCGACACGTTTAAGCATATATATCTATTTAAGGTGCTGACGCGCCCGCTGCGACGTGCGTGGCCACGCCCATTCCTGCCGAATGTATTTTCTACTGGACAGCATTAAATGCATAGTCAAAAAGTGATTATTTTAATTTGTCATATCAAAAATTTGTAAAAAATAAACTGCAATTGAATAAATTCCATATATTTTTACCATTACTAACTCATCTTCTGCATTTTAGTAAAAGGCAAACTTTTATTAAAATTGGTCATGTTTTTATTACTTTAACCCTAAACATATTTTGGTCAATATTGTTGTCAGAACTGAACAAGATTTGTGCAAGAATCAGATTACCTCAAAACATCAAAGCCCTAAATTATATTTACTATTCATTTCAATTCTTAATATTTCACATAAAAGATGTTAAAATACCCCTAAGGTTCCTTCTGGAAAGCAATTAACCAAAAGCTGCGATTTTCTAAAATTTGCATTCAATTATATACAGTAATTGGATTA